ATCGGCGCGGCGGGGGCGGGGAATGGCCGCTCCACTTCCCCGTGGCCGGGGCTTCATGCTGAAGCTGCTCGGAGCCCACGCGAGGCTGCCTGTGCCTGCTCTCCATTGCCACCACACCGCTGCCTCACAGGGTGGCGGAGATGCAGGGCAGGCAGGCGCAGGCTGTGAGCCCCTGCCAGCTCTCCCGTCTCCCTGCTGTTGCAGCCCAGCCCGGCTCCCCAGACTCCAGCCAGCCCATGCCCATGCCCCGTGCCCGGCTCTGGGCCCTACCAGTGCCGGCGCTGGGCCGCTCCCGCTTGCGTCCACTCCCCCCCCAGCTGCTTTCTCCACTTTCCTGCCCGGCCGCTCTGCACTACATGGCTCCCATACCCACATCCATGCCTACACACACACACACCCATATGCAGTCACTTCTGCATATGCACTAAAAATGCCCACAAATCAGGACAAAAATATATTTTTTAATTCCATTAAAATATATTACTATGGGTGTTTTATTTTTAGTATGTAATTTGTTTTTCTTTCCCCTAAGATGGCAAACCCTCTTCCCCAAAGGAGTACTTCCAGGGGCAAGGGGAGAGATGTCTAGTGGCAAAGGTCAGAGGTTAGGGGCAGGACTTCCAGCCCCAAGATGGCCACCAGGGGGCAGGACACCTGTCAAGGGGCCAGGCTTCCCACGTGGCACTCGACAGCTTGACAAAACTTGGTAAGTGGCCCTCCACTCCAAATAATTGCCTGCCCCTGCCCTAATGTTAGTGAAATCTATGAAAACCTTTGTGAGTGCTTTTGTGGTGTGTGTCAGCGATTACAACATCATAGAGCAGAAGTGTGGTGCTGGTAAACTGTAGGAGTAGAAAGAGGTTTTCTTTTTCCACTCAGAGATGAGAGATGAATGAAGATTTAGGAGGCCAACTGGAGGTTGCTGCTAATGCTCTGTGGTAACATAACTACCTTCTGGATGGTCACGGTGGATCCAGGAACCGGAAACTGGACAGCTTACCTAATATTTTTAATCAGCTTGAGGAGTGACTGACTTCACATACATGAACTTTTTACATGTAAAAAGGATCCATCAATCAAGGTAACTAATGGCTGGATTGACTGTGCAACAGCAGCAGAGCAAGCTGGTCACACACATACATGTGTATCACTTGCCAGTGTCCCATGACCATGCTCTGCAGGGCCAATTCCAAGGGTAACAGTGGAGTTCAAACCATACAGCCCCTCCAGACCTTTGCTTTTCCCATGGGGTCATAGTTAGGGCCACCTGCTGTAGGGGGTATAATGTAGACAGATGTTCCCAGGGAACTCAGGGGTATTTCAGAATTGTGCAAAGGCCACCAAGAAGCTATCACATGGCAGCAACTACTCATCACAACCAGCCACACTTGACTTGACCTTCACCCCTCTTTTAGTTTTCACTCTCCGATTCATTTTGGTCTCCTGGCCAAGAAAGCTTTTTCCTTCAGTTGGTTGGATATCTAGCAGGACACAAAAATAACTGACTGGGGTCTTGGACAGAAGACTATGATCACTGCAGTGAAAGGTGAAGACTTCTTGCTGCAAACCATCATTGCCTTAGAGTCAGAATAAATCTAGTTCAGAAATGCCGTTTATCATTAAGGTGGCCAGACACTTCCCATTTTAACAACTGACAATAGGATCTTTATAACCTTGTCAAAATGTAACTATCTGGACTAAGATTTTTCTGACTGTCAGCCTTGATTTGCCTGTCATGCAAGATACATCTGTTAAAATTATTTAGCCATTTTAAGTAAGGTCAGATGAAAATATTTGGTTTGAACATTGTTAGAACATTTATGCTGGTTACACTGAAAAGCTCAAACTCCTTCTGGTATTGTAGAGAAGGCCCGAAGTCTGTCAGTCTACACTCACGGTAGGAATGGGCCTTCGGCTGTCCCTGTCAAAATCTACCCAAATTTGGCCTAGGAAGAAATCTCTGCAAAACCTCAATTCACACATGCTTGTTGGAGGCTTGCTAGAGTTTACTAGCAGCCCAGCTTGAAACCCTGAGTTTGGAGCGGCAAAAGGATTGAATTCTAACAGCAGCAGCTGAATTCACTGAGAGACGCATCAAAATATAGAGGTCTGTGTAATGCAACTGATTCTGAGAATGGCTGCAAGTTAGCCCTGAAAGTTGGAGCACAGGTCTGCCAATTTATGGGTTTTATCCCTCAGTGCAGTGAGATGAGATAAGTCTTCTACCTCATCTCAGAGGAGCACTGGGAACCTTAAATCATGGTAATGTTTCAAAAGCACTCAGACACTGTGACGGGTGCAGCCTTGAATGTCCAGCAGGATATTACCAAATCACTTTATCCTGTGCCAGGTTTGGATGGTGTGCAGTATCTACAGCCTGGGGCACACGCTGAAGAAGAAGCATATAAAGAAGTGTAGCACAGCTTCCCAGTCCATTCAGCCTGTGCCCAGAGCGAGCCGGGAGTGGGAGGGGTCATGGAGACAACAGAAAGTGGTTGTGTAAGTGGTTGTGTAACTAGAGACTATATCATGATGCAGACACACAAAGCAGGCTTGATTCTGGCTTTGCCCAACTTCTGCACGCCTGACTCTTCACTTTTTTAATATAGTTGGTTGTGACCCCTTCCCCCTCCCCACCCCCCATCTTTCTCTGACTAATACCTTGATAGGATTAAGACAGTTAATAATCAGTGAGAGGAGCTTCCTATGAAATGCTGATCTTTTCCACAACTATACCCTACCAAAAAACAACACAGGGTCATTAGCTTTCAGGCCTTCCCTTCTCATATGCTCTTATATGAGACACATATGACCACAAGCTCTTACTTTAGTCAATTAGTGAAGCTGTCCGCTATAAGTTTTCAAATAGATATCCTGTCAGCAGGTCAGACTTGTGGCTGGCTGCTGTCACCAGCAAGCTGGTGAGCTGTCTATCTGTGGTAATCAAATATCCCCTTACTTTGGTGTCTAAACATCTTGCAGCATTTAATGCATTGACTCTCACAACAGCCCTTATGCCCTGTGGGTTCCTGGCAGGCTGGATTGTGTGAGAGAGCTGTGTGAGCTGTACAAGCAAGAGCTGCCATGCGTTCAGTTGGGAAGAGGCATTTTGCCTTCCTCCTGCTCATCATCGCCAGGTCTGCAGTGCTACCGGGTGAGTCTGACTGCTCTGGGGGCTGTGCTGCTGGGAGGGGTAGGGAACCAGAGGATGGTTCTTCCCATCGCTGCTGTCCCTCTCATTGTGGTTTTCAGTAAAGGACACTGCAGATTCTGTAGCTCAGCACCAGCATCTTTGCCCTGCTCTCATTCCCCTGCTGCTGTTTGTGATGATCACAGGCCTGTGATCTAAAGGCATCTGCTTAGTGACCTTGATTGATCCATGGTTCACAATACTGTCAGATGGCAGAGGTGAGGGCTCTTCCCTCATGTCTCGACTTTCTTTCCATCCGGGTTTATTTAACAGGCTATAGAGTGCCCAGATGAAAGGGCCTGTGAACTTGGAGTTTTAGCCAGGAATTATGTTCAGGGCTTTATGCTGAAGGTTGGTGGTAGCTCCCATGGGGGATGGCTGAGGTCTGTTTTTATCCTGGGCACAGGGGAGAGATCCCACAAAGGGACAGAGAACAGTTCCTGGGGTTTTATTCTGAAAGCCAAAGGGAGCTGCCTCGCCTCTCATCTGCAATGGCTTCTGCACTGAGAGCAGGGGCCAGCTCAGGCTGCGGGTCCAAAGTTTTAGAGTTGTGGGTTAAGGCTCACCTTAACAACAGCTGTATCCACTCCACCAGCCCAGCTTACATCTGAGTGTACAGCCTGTGTCCTTGGCCCTGGACATTGACACAGGAACTCTCATAATACTGACAAGAGGAAGCCCTGAACACCACTTGCCAGTGCTAAGTACAAGTAGTGGCAGTGGGGCCACACGTCCAATGCACCAAACTAGCCAAAATCTACAGGCTTCAAAAGATGGGTCTTGCTTCTCTAGCACTGCTTATCAGAGGATTTCAGAACACTTTGCAGGAGGATTTAATTCAACCTCAATACCATTCAGGCCCCTCTTCCCCCTTTTTGCAGATGGACTAATTGATCCAAAGGGATATTTGGTGACATGGTCTACCTAGTCACACGAGGTCACATGGGGTGAGCTCATGACAATCATGGCGCAGGGCTCATGAATAGAGGTGGTCAGAATAGGATGGGATTTTTCATGAAAGATTTTTAGGAAAACGGATATAAAAGATCAGATTTCTGCAGAAAAAGCTTGATTTTGTGTTAAAAACCAACCAAACAAACAACCCTCACAGTATAACAAAACAAAGGCCCTTCCTAACCAAATGTTTTTAGCTGCAAATAAAAACATTTTTCCTTTGGATGGAAACTTTCTCTCCAGCCCTGCTCCTGAGTACCATGCTCACCAGACTCTGCTGTCCCCAGTGTGGATGGGTGAGGACAGGGGGTTGCTGTGGGCTTCTCTCCCTCAGAACCCACCACCTTAGTGGGCCCAGCAGGTCCAGCATCCCAGAGACTTCTGTCCCTGGGGTTTGGCAACATTATAGGAAGCCTAGAGTGAAGGGGCTTAATTGTGGGCACCAAGTGAGAGAGAGAGCAAGAGAGTGAGTGAGCAAATATTAAACAAGGACATTTTAAAATTGTGCCCTGCACAGGCTCAGCCAGCCTCATTTCCCTTAGCACTTGTCTTAGCATTTCTACTGTCACCAGCACAGCTCCACTAGTATTAACAGTGGAAACACTAGCTTAGATGCAGGGTATGGGTCATTTTTTAACCACTGTGGTGTCTTCACCTGTCCTGTGCAGTAGGTCAGTGTTTCTCAACCTTTTAAGTAGCAAGTACCCCCTAACTGCTGAAAATTTTAATAAGTACCCCAACACTCAGCTTTCTCAGGGATTTTATATTTACAGACTAATGTGTTGGAAGAAGGGCTGTGTTTATAAGGTCGTGATATGACAGATATCTGATCTGGTGTGGGTAGGGTTGCCACCTTTTACACCAGGGGTGCACAACTCAAGTATGTACCTGGGCTAGAGGTGATGTTAGCCAAAGCTAGGAGGGCTGAACCCAGTGCCATAGTGTGGCATGCCAAATTATTATTGGGGAATTTATTCCAAGTTTTTTAATTCCAATTTCTTGGCATAGTTTTGGGAGGAGGAAGAGGCAAGGGAGAGAGGAAAAGAGGTTGAGAGAGAGAGTGTTGGGGTACCCACATACCCCCTGCCTGTGTCTTGCATACCCCCAGGGGTACATGTACCGCAGGTTGAAAAACTATGCAGTAGGTGACCCAACTTTTAATCTGGTGGTGGGTCTGTAATAGTGACTTCCCCAAAAAACAAAAATATTATTACAGCAACCGTAGCTCTGCTCTCTAGCTTATATGAAGTGCATGTGTCTTTCAGTAGTGATTCAGTGCACTGTATCTAGTCAGACATACACAGTCCTCTATGTGTGCATCTTAGGAGGTGGTGAGACTTCAACATAAGCAATCAGAACTAAATTAATGCTACTCCTTTACTTTGAGGAAGTAGAACTAAATATTCATTCAGCACATGAGGGATAATACAAGATGCTCCTGTATCTGCTCTTAGTAAGCAGCTAAAGCTCTTTTTAGCTTGCTCTGGTGTAATTCACATTCATATTTGAGGATTCCTTCAGTAGAAGGGAAACAATCACTGGCCTGCTTGAAGCACCTTCCTGCCACACCTATGCAGTACTTCGTGAGGACAGAAGAGGTACAGATTTAAATGTGATATTTTAAATGTTTGTCTGATGAAAATCTCCATGCCTGTAAAACTGAAAAATGAATGAACAAAATATTTTGAAGTAGAAATAGTAAGAACACAGTCACTAAGTGCTTTATGTGCAGGGCCAAATCTGTAAATGAATAGAATTTTTTTCCCAAAGTTAGCAAATTAGTTTAATTTTTGGATGGGTGATCAACAGCACATTTTAAGACATAAATAGAGTGTTCGCAGAAAATTAAACACATTGGAAGTTGAGGCATGTAATGTAAGTGCCATGCCAAGTGTAATAGCAATAGGATCAATGATGGATGGTGAGATTTACCAACGAAGCTAGCAAGATAGCGGGACAGCAATCTGCACTCTGGGTGGGCTTGGATGTGGAGCAACTTCTCACTTCCTGTACACCTCAGCTGCCCAAAGAAAGAATAGATTCACGTCAGAAAAATGGAGGAGGGCAAAATATAGAAACATCTACATTCGTTGATGTCCAATTGTTTCCTGTGCACTGTCACTGTGCTTGGTGTTGTGCAAAAGACGGAGACACAAGCTTTGCCTTGTATAGTTCAAAGTTTGTGGTAAAGGTCTTCAGACAGTGTTAGTGTGGCAGGAAGCAGAAGACAGGGAGCAGAAAGCAGAGCAGCAAATCAGACAGGAGAAGGGGGCTGGAGTGGCACTCAGGGCGGTGACAAGTCTTACCTTGTGACACACTTGCTGAAAAGGTTGGCTTTCTGCTGCTGTGCTTTCTAGAAGGTCATCTCCCAATCTGTATGTGTGTTTGTAATGCCTTCTCCCTAGGTGCAGCACTTTGCACTTATCTTTGTTAAACTGCATCCTATTTTGTTCTGCCCACTTTCCCAACCTGGCCAAATCTGCCTTAATCCATTCCCTGCCCAACTGTGTGTTTACTTTGCCCCATAATTGGGTGTCATCTGCAAATTTGGACAGAGTGCTTTCCATGCCCTCATCCAAGTCACTGATGAAGATATTGAACAGCACTGGTCCAACCCTTGGGGGACCCCACTGCTCACATCTTTCCAGGTTGATATCAACCCATCCACCACCACTGTTTGGGTGAGGCCCATAAGCCAATCTGCCACCCACCTGACCATGTAATCATCTACATCACAGCCACTTAGTTTATGAGAATGGGATGAGACACCATATAGAAGGCCTTTTTAAAATCCAAGTAAATGACATCTACCTCAACTCTTGCATCTAACCATTTTGTGACCTGGTTGTAAATAGAAACAAGGTTAGTCAGGCAGGATCTACCTGCTGTGCATCCATGCTGATTGCTCTTCATTATTATTTTTCCTGCTGGACTCCCACAAATGTGTTCCTTAATAATTTTTTCAAAGGTTTTCCCAAGGATAGAGGTGAGATTAACCAGCCTATAGTTATCCGGATCCTCCTTCCTCCCATTCTTGAAAATAGGGACCACATGGGCCCTTTTCCATCATCTGGGACCCGTCCTGAGCACCACAAGTGCTCAAACAGTCTTGCCAGTGGTTCTGCTATGACACTGGCTAATTGCCTCAGCACCCTTGGATGAAGATCCTCTGGGCCTGCTGACTTAAACACATCCAGCCCCTCCAAGTGCCCCTTCACTAGGCTGGCGCTAACTGTTGGTGGGCTGGTATTCCTCTTGTGCTTGTCTATAATCCAAATGGGAAATATGTATTTATCCATGTTCAAGAATACAGGTGCAAAAAACTCATTGAAGAGCTCAGTTTTCTCACTCCTATCTGACACCACTTGCCTTAGTCTGTCCTGTAGGGTTCCTATGTTGCCGTGTGCCTTCTTTTTACTCCCTATATACCTGAAGAAGGACTTTTTGCTTTCTTTAAGTTTTGATGCCAATCTGAGTTCCATTGTTGCTTTGGCCTTTCTGACTGCCTCCCTGTAAGTGTGAGCCAAGTAGGTATACTCCTCCTTGGTGGCTACTAGGGCTGTACAAAACAGCATTGTTCCACTTTGACTTCCATTTTGATGTTTCAATGGAACAGTGTTTCATTTTGAATTTTGTTTCGTTCCAAAATCACCGTTCCATTTCGTTGAAACTGTTTTGCTGTTTTGACACTGTTTTGCCCATAGGGTATAATGGGAATCATAAAATGCGGCAGGCGGGCAGATTGGGGGCTCGCCCGCACCCCTGGGAGGGCTGTGGGGGCTGTGCCAGAGTCCTTCTGGGGGTGCGTGCCCCAGATCTGCCTGCTGGATGACAGGAGCCAGTTGCTGCCTGGGACCGGTGCCGGGAAGATCGGTGCTGCCACTGGCCCCAGGTGGCAACACCCACCTCCTCTCATCCAGCAGGCAGATTGGGGGCTCACTCGCACCCCCGGGAGGGCTGAGGGGGCTGTGCCAGACTCCTCCCAGGGGTGCGGGTCCCCCATCTGCCCA